AGGAACACCAGCTTCCTCCTCCTCAAAGCCACCGGGCATGGCCCCCACTCAGGGACCTTGGATAGCGTCACCCCCTGCTGCGAGTTCAGTGCCTGGCTGTCGCACAGTGGGTGCTCGAAATCATTTTTTTTTTTGAGACAGAGTCTCACTGTGTTGCCCAGGTTAGAGTGAGTGCCGTGGCGTCAGCCTGGCTCACAGCAACCTCAAACTCCAGGGTTCAAGCGATCCTCCTGCCTCAGCCTCCCGAGTAGCTGGGACTATAGGCATGTGCCACCATGCCTGGCTAATTTTTTGTATATATATTTTTAGTTGGTCAATTAATTTATTTCTATTTTTGGTAGAGACGGGGTCTCGCTCAGGCTGGTTTCGAACTCCTGACCTTGAGCAATCCGCCCACCTCGGACTCCCAAAGTGCTAGGATTACAGTCGAAATCATTTTTTAAGCCCATGAGTATTGGGTTGGTGGCAGTAACAGGCAGTGCCCGTCACCTGTGAGGTGAGCACTTTCGTTGTACCCATTTCGCAGATGGGAAAACCAAGGCTGGGAGTGGGGCGAGGCTCAGCACACAGGAAGCGCTGGGGCCGGGCTCCGACCCAGGCCCGCCCGCAACCTGGCAGGGAGTCGGCTGCGTGGGGAGACCGGGGCTGCTAGGCCGTAGCTGAGCCTTCTGACCCTGGGGTGCAGGCTGGGGGCGCTGGGGTGCAGGCTGGGGGCGGGGACCCCCGAGCCGCTGTGGCCCGAGGACGCCGTCCCCGCCCAGGCGGCTGTCGCGGAGCCCCAGTCGCTCTGACTGCCCCAGTTAGCGCCGTTAAATTTAGCTCCGCTGCCCCAGCCGGGGGACTCGGATCCAGGCAGGGCCGCCGGCTCTTTCGAGGAAAAACGCTGTCGCCGCCACCGGCTTCACAGCCACAGCTGCCACCGGCCGTCTCCGTGAATGAAAGAAAGGCCTCGTGGGGCCGCCCGCGTTGGGAGCCTTTGATGGGGCTCCTGCTCCGGCTTCCCGGGTGGGGCCGGGCACGCCGCCCGCCGGCCCACTCGCCCCGCTCGCCCGAAGCGGCGCGGCTCTGGCTGCCCAGCCTTCCCGAGCTCCTGCTGCGCTCAGCACCCAGCCCGCCCGCCGCCCTGGCCCGCGCTGCCCCGTCCTCTCTCAGGGAGCCCTGCGCTGCCCGGCCCCTCTGCTGCTGCCGCACCGGCCCCAGGGCCTTTGCACACGCCCCGCCTGGTGCTACATCCTCGCGCGTCTCTCCTTCCCCCCCACTACCTCTCCGCCTTTTCTGCATCTCCAAGAGACGCTTCCAGGCCACCCCTGGCCCGCCTGGCTTCCCGCCACGGAAATCACGCTCCCTGAGCAGGGACAAGGTCCGGCCCTGGCTCGGGCAACCATGTACGTCCGGGGCTGCAGAACAGAGAGATACAGCGGCACGCGGGCGGGTGAAGCCGAGGGGACAACGGGAGGCGCGGCCTCCTGTCGGCCACCGTGTGTCCGTCCGAGGGGAGCCCCTACGTCGCTTCTCTGGGGTCGCCTAGAGCCTCCCTCTGGGGCCTCGAACTCAGGGCTCCGCGGATGTCCTCTGCAAAGGGCTTGACGCTGTCCGCCGCGACCTCTCAGCCGCGGCGGCCGCACACATACAGGATAGCGGGTTCGACGTGGCCCCAGACTGTCGTCGGCTGACCCTTGCCCGCGTGGCCTTTCTTTTCTTGCAGGGACGCGTGTTTCTCAATCTGCGCAATTAAACGAGTCTGTATTCGCGGCACGCGGGGAGCCCTCGGCTAGGGTTTAATACGATTAACCCCAAGAATATAAATCAAGCTCCCGACGCAACAACCGGCTCTCCAAGGTAAGGGTGTCTTCTTGTTGAAATGAACAGTAGCCGATTTTTTGTTTGATACATTGTCTCGCTTTGTTGCCAGGACTGGAGTGCTGTGGCGTCAGCCTAGCTCACAGCAACCTCAAACTCCTGGGCTCGAGCGATCCTCCTGCCTCAGCCTCCCGAGTAGCTGGGACTACAGGCATGCGCCACCATGCCCGGCTAAGTTTTTCTATATATACTAGTTGGCCAATTAATTTCTTTCTATTTTTAGTAGAGATGGGGTCTCGCTCTTGCTCAGGCTGGTTTCGAACTCTTGGCCTCAAGCGGTCCTCCCATCTCGGCCTCCCAAGAGTGCTGCGATCACAGGTGTGAGCCACCGCGCCCGGCCAGTGGCTGCGTGTTTGATCGTGGCGGTGGAGACAGAGCACTCACCGCCCGTCGCGCCCCCGGGCGCCCACAGCCGCGTCCCTGCTGTGGGTCTGTGTCCCAATCAACGTGCTCCGCGCGGCTCTGCGTGCTGGGTGGGCGCCGCGCGGCAGTCCCGGTTCCTGAAGGCGGAGACCTCGCTCTCCGAGGCACTCTGCACACTCACGTGGCCGCGCAGCCGTGCCCGCCCGCCGTCTCCGGAACTTTCTCGCCTTCCCAAACCGACGCTCTGTCCCCATGAAACCCTCACTCCCCGCCCCCTCCCCAGCCCCCGGCACCCGCCTCCCCGCTTCCTGTCCCTGTGGCCCTGCCTGTTCTGGACGTTTCATACAAACGGAGTCTCACACTGTGTCCTTCTGTGTCTGGCATCTCTCACTGAGCACGATGTCCTCAAGGTCCCTCCACGCTGTGGCCTGTGTCAGAGCCTCGTCCTTTTTCATGGCTGCGTGATACTCCACGTGTGGATGGGCCACGCTGTGGGTGTCCGTCTGTCCGTCCGTCCATGGACATTTGGGTCGCCTCTGCCCTTCGGCTGTCGTGCTCGGCGCTGTGCTCGTATCTGCTCCCGGGTCCCTCCCATTCCGACGCCGGGGCGGCGCGAGCAGGGCGCTAGCGTGTCCCCCGGGCGCTGCCTTCTCCGCCCGTGGGTGGGCCGCGCGCCCTCTGCCCGGTGGCCGCGCAGCCTGACCCACTTACCTGAAGCCTCATCTCAGCCCGCAGCTGAGCCCGGAGGCGGCCGGGGAGGGGCTGGCTGGGTGGACGTGGCCTTTCTCTGCCCAGGGGACGCGGCACGCTGCCACGGCTGCCCCCGGGCCGCCCGTGACCCTGCAGGTGCGGCTGGCAGACCCGCCCTGGCGTCTCCGGCTCCCGGAGCCCCTGCCGGTTCGGTTCCAGCCCTGCCCACGGCCGCGCCGCTTCCCACGCTCGCCGCAGTCTCCTAGCAACCAGCATCCGCAGCCCAGGTCCCGCCGCGGCTCCCTGGGGGCGTCCCCGTCCTGTCCCTGCACCCTGGCTCCCGGGCCGGTGCCTTCCCGCCCCCGCTCTGGGGTCCGCGGCCGGTGGCTGGGGGGGGCAGGACGCGGCTGCTCGGGCCCTGGCTGGGCTGTCACCCAGGAGGCTCACCCATCTGGGCAGATCTGCTAAGCCGAGGCTTGCTTCGCCTGTCGCCGACTAAACCGGCTGCCGGGAGGGCCGACTTAACTCTTCGCAGCGGGGCTGGTTTTCAACCGCCTGGTGGCTGGGGGAGCCGGCGTGGGGACACCGGGGACGCCGGGCAGGGGACTGGGCGGCTCCCGAGAGCCGCCCCTGCAGGGCGGAAGGGAGGAAGCCGTCTGCACACACGGCGCTCTCTGAACAGCCGGGGGCAGACCCGTGTTTGGGTGTCAGGGTGTGGCTTCAAGCGTCGCGTGGTTTATTCGGCCACGAGCGTCCCCCGGCCTGCTCCAGATCTGGGGCCGCAGTGGGCCGGGTGGGCGCGCTCCCGGCCCGTCTGCAGAGAATTCACGGGCTCAAGGGGAGGACGGAGAACTCATCATTTGGATCAGAGACCTGTGGCCTAAAGGCACTGAACAGGGTTACAGGACAGTCGGAGGGGCCTGGGAGGCTGCTGAGGTCACCTGGGGAGGTGACATTGAGCTGAGACCTGACGGAGAAGGAGCTGGCCATGCAGGTTGGGGGAAGAGCTAATGGGGCAGCAAGAACAGCATGTGCAAAGGCCCTGGGGCAGGAGCGAGTTCGGCTCACTGAAGATCAGCAGCGCATAGTAGGTTGAAGGAGCCGGTGGCGGGTGGGCTTCTGGGGGGCTTGGCTGGGATTTGGGGTTTATCCAGAGCACACTGGGGCCTCTGGAAGGTTTAAGCAGGGAATGGAGCAGAGGCTGAGAGGGCAGAAGTGGAACCCACAGGATTTCTTGTGGACTGGCTGAGTGCAGAGGCATCTGGGAGGACTGCTTGGAGGTGGTGGCAGTCCACCCGGGCAGCTGGGCAAACGGCAGTGCCACCTGCCAGATGCGGGAGGAGGTGGGTGTGCGGGGGCTGGGGTTTAGGAAAGGCGGCAGGGCTCCCTCGGGAAGGGGCTCCATGGTGAGACGGCGCCTGCCCCCAGGGGACACCTGAGCGGCTGGGCGCCAGCCGGCGGTCCTGTTTGCGGCAGGCACAGTGGCAGCGAAGGAGCCTCCCAGGCCGGCCGGCCCTCCCTTTGGCCTGGGCCTGACTCGGGCCCCCCGAGGCAGCTGGTGCTCCGGCCCGACTAGTGGCCGCCCCCTGCCGGGCATCCCGCCCTCCCACTCTGCCCCCCGCTGCCCCTACGGGCTGGAGCCCGTCCAAGACTTGCCCCATGACCCGGCGTCCTCGCCTGAACCCCTCCGCCCACGCCCTCACGCTGGCGGGGAGCTCGCTGTGGGTGAGCGGACTCTCCCAAACTCAGCTCAGCCGCCTCCTCCTCCGGGAAGCCCTCAGGGGCGGGGGTGGGGGGCCAGGCCGGGGCAGCTCCTCCAGGGCCGAGGCAGAGTGCCGGCCGTGGGCCGTGTAGACTGTTTTCTCTGCGGCATCTCCAGGGGACACCCGGTGTGGGGTGGCCGAGGGGACCTGCAGCTCTGGGCCCCCTGACCCCTGTCTGCCCACACCCGGGCCACGGGGTCCCTGTGAGAGGGGACAGGCCCTGCAGTCCGAGGCAGGACCCCACCCGCACCGTGAGAGGCAGGCAGAGGCCCGGGGTTTGGGTCACCTGTGTCCCGCGGGAAGGACAGCACGGCCACACCGGAAGACAGACACGTGTCCTTTATTCCTCCCCCGTCTGCAGGTGGCCCTGCGAAGACTCTCGGGGCTCGAGCCCCACACGGCTGTCCTCCAGACGGGGCGAACAGACGCATGAGCCGCACGGCCACGGACCACGTCTGTCCAAGGCGGACGTTGCCCGCTCGGGGCCACTGGTGGCCGCGCAAGAAAACTCCAGGCGAGGGGACAGGTTTGGACGGGCAGAGCAGATGCTGGGCAGGGGTGCCCCCACGTCCCCCGGTGCCAGGAGCCCCTTCCCCTCCGCGTGTCCGCGGGCCGGCTGCCCTGCCCGGGCCCTGCGCCCCGGAGGGGACGGGCTGGGACCTGAGCTGGGGACGGGGGTAGGCAGGGGAGGAATTTGAGGCAGGACCCAGGCCTCAGGGGCGCGGGCCCCGAGACTCCTCTCTGTGCAAGGCACTCGGTGTTGGGGTGTGGGTGGGATTGGGGTGTCTTCGGGGTCAGGGCACAGAGGCGGCCCCTGCCTGCGTCTTCACTGGTCAGTGGCATCCGGCGACCGTCCCCACGGGGGACGTGCTGGTCTGTTTGGAGCAGGGTTTGGGTTTGGGGGATCCCGGCCCCCGGCACCCCTTCAAGCTTGCCCACACAGGGTGTGGGTGGGGAGTGACACAGGCCTGCCGGCCACCCACGGCCCCAGCCACCCCCGTGGCCTCTCCCTGAGCCTTCAGGGCCCATTCGAGGAAGCGATTGAAAGCCCGCGCCCTGCCCCGCCAGCCACGGGGAGCTTAGGGCCAGCAAGAGACACGGGCGCTCAGAGTCGCGGGGCGCCCGCTGCCCGGCCGTGGGGGGACGGGGCCGGGGCCGCAGGGAGAGGGGCGCGCGGCTCTGAGTGCCGGTGGCATCATTTCTCTAACGATTAACGCACACACGTGCTTCTCTTAGAGAGAAGCCACCGAACGTCACTGAGAAGGGGAACACCGTTGTCTGATGGCGGGACGACACAGCCGCGACACCCGCGTGTCTGGGGTGCAGGCCCTGGGTGGCGGGGACGGCTCAGGCGAGCCCCTCTGCGTCCCTCCGGCCCTGCTTCCCCGCACCCGCGCCCTCCGCGCCCTCCTCGGGCTCCAGCCGCCTCTTCCGCGAGCGGGACGCGCGCAGCGGGCGCATGCCCAGGAGCGTGTGGATCTGCCGGAAGGCCAGCAAGCGCAGGGCGTGCTGCGCACACGCGGCCGTCAGGACCCGCGCCGGGGACACCGGACGGGCGGGGGGGGGGGGGGTGTCTGTGGCCGCCCCACCAGCTCCTTCCGCCTCACTGGACGGGCCCCACATCTGCGCAGCCAGCAGTCCCGGTCCCGCTAAGGGCAGCCGCACACGCAGACCCAGGGCCATGTGACCCGGGACTGCCGCGACACTTCTCTTAGGAACCCATCTGCGCACAGGGAAACCGCAGGTGGTGGGAGCCGGCTGGGCAGAGCGGGGGCCATGCTGGTTTCTATGGGCCATGGTGCGGGTGGGGCAGCCCCCAGGATGGTCTCTGCCACCCACGGGCCACCCAACTGTCCCCAGACGTCTCAGCAGGAGGGAGGGAAGGGAAGCCGGGGCCGTTTTGGCCGCAGGTGGCGGGTGGGGCCTCCTACCTGGGCACTGGCTGTCACGTCCTCCCGCTCCTGCAGGGTCATGGGCTCCAGGGCGTCCTTCTGGCCTTTCTCGCAGGGGTCCTGGAGCCCGGGCCCGTCTGGTGGGGGCCGAGGGGCAGCGAGGAAGGAGAGCGTGCTGGTGAATGACAGCATGGCCGCCGTGGGCCGCCTGCACCCACAGCAGCCGGACCCACGGCCCCGGGCCGGCCGCGTCTCTCGGGGCGTGCGGGAGTCCTCCCCGCCCTGAAGGCACACGGGGCTGTGGGGCCTCCGGGCCTTTGCATGTGTGTGCGTGCCCACACGTGTCCCCTCTGTGTGTGTGCCCACGAGTATCCCCACACGGTCAGATCACATGCTCAGATGAGGGGCCCAACATGTCATCGTCCCTTCTGCACTTAATGTCATCCTGGGTCACTAACAATTACTTGAAGACCCGCCTTCCGGACCTGACCCCCCTCCTGGCCTCTGTGGGCCGACACATGCGCGGTGGAACTGCGCACGCGCCCGCTCTGATTTCTGGTTATTTCCTCTGAAGAGTCCCGGGAGGGGTCACCTGGGCAGCTCTGGCTGCCTGAGAACCACCTGCTGCCCCGGTGGGTGGCGGGCAGCCCCGTGCTGCCCTGCCCGGCTGGGGCCGCCTGCCCTCCTGCTGGGGGCGCGCGGGCTCCCAGGCCTGGGCCTGCGACTGACCTTCCAGGAGTGTCCCCATGGCGACACACTCCAGGACGCGCCTCACGGCGTCCCCGGGGCCCAGGGGCTGGGTGGCGCTGCTCAGCGCCTTCTCCACCAGCAGCTGTGTGGCCTGCGGGGGATGGGAGAGGGGACGCTGCCTGGGGGTGTGCGGGGGGAGGTTTGGGAGCCAGGCAGGGAGCTGGGGACGCGCTGGGGTGAGGGGCCGCTCTGTGAGCCTGGAGGGTCCCTGCACCCTCTCCCCTCCGCTTTCCACCGGGGAGGGGAGGTGTTGGAGCCACAGGGGGTCTGTGCCAGGTCACCCAGAGGCCAGCGCGGACAGGGAACCCTGGCTCCGTGTCCTCTGCCCCGGTGCCACCAGGTCTGGGCAGAGCCCGCTCATTTCCCTGGCGCCCTCACATTTGCATGCCGTCCCCATGCTGGCACCGGCCTGGCAAGGTTTTGAGTTTCAAATGTCAGCAGGTAAATGAGACCCCGGGGAGGGGCCTCTCCTGACCCAGGGGCCTGAGACCCCCCACCTCCTCCAGCTCTGTGGCACTAATGCTCGGGGAAGGCCACGGCCTGGGAAGAGGAACCTGTCAGGGCCTGGGGCCCTCGGGGTGCTCACCCAAGCTGGCAGGGCCCCCCAGGCGGGCACGCGCCGGCAGAGGTCCCGCAGGACCCTGAGCACCAGCACGCACAGCTGCAGGCCGCTGGCGCGAGCCTTTGAAAAGAAGCACGTGTCACCTCTGGGGACTCTCGGCCACACGGCGGGGCGCGAGGCCTGTCCTGGCGAGAGGCCCGGGGAGGGCGACAGGAAGCCCGGTGACCGGCCTCAGAGGCGGCTCTCCCGCGTGCAGAGGGTTGGGCTGGGGTCCCCTCACCCGTCCCGAGATGTCACCCCTCCTGCCTCCCCCAGCCCTGACCTGGAACCACCTGGCGTGGCGCAGGGCGGCCAGGGACTCGAGGCACTTCGCGGGGCTCAGGACATCTGCTGGGTCGGGCCGAGGCTCCTCCACTCCTTCTAGAAGGAAGAGCGGCGTGGGTCCTCAGGGGCGTGTGGGGAGGGCACTTGTCCCCGAAGCCAACCCTGCGAAACCTCGGCTCCCCGAGTCGCCCTCTCTCCCGACTGAGCGACCGGGTGACGCCAGCACTGGCCCTTGGGGGCCGGTTAGGGGGAGATTGGGGGGCGATGAATTCAGCCTGGTTTCCAGAAACTTCCAAGTGCATCATGAAAAGGGAGAAAGTCGGCCAGATTTCGACATGCCCCGTCGTTGCCAACCTAGGACCGGGGTCTGGGAGGAACAGGGTCGCTTCCCTTCCTTGCGATTTTTGGGTTCTTTATACCATTGAGATCTGTGCAGAATTCCTTCAAATCACTGCTTCTAGAGCATTTTTCTCGTTTTATGTGAAATGGCGCGAGAGGCCTTGGTGTGTGGAGGTCACTCGATGGAAGAAAGGGTCCCCGTGGGTCCACAAGCGTCCCCATGGGTCTCTGTCTGTCCATGTGTCCGTCGTGGCAAACGGCTGCCCGGGCCGGCGTGCAAGCGCAGGGCTGGCCTGCAGGACGGACCGTCAGAAGCTGACGCCCCCCAACAGGAAGTGCGGTTTCCCGGCAGGGCGGCGCAGAGCTCACCTGTCACAGATGGGTCCCGGTGGAAGGATTTCCTGTGCCCCAACCGCCCCCTAATCGGGCACCGAGGCCGGGAAGGAGCCTCCTTCTAGTGGCCGCCAGCCCTCAACCCCGCCCGCTCCCCAGCCTCCGTGGTGGCTCGTTCCAGGGCCTTGGCCACGGTCGAAAGGCGTCTTTCCCCACGGTGTTTGGTTTCTAGATGACTATTTATGACAATGGCTTTCTGTCTCACGGTTAAAAGGCTCGCCTTTAAAAAAAAAAAAAAAAGCTAGGTTTGAAAATGAAAGTATTGAAAGGGAAACGTCAGTGGTTCACGGCCCTCGGCTACGACAAACGCCAGGACGGGGTTGGAGGATGGCAGCGTCTGGAAGATGGTCCTAGAGACTGTTCTAGAAGGTTCGAGGCCACCTGGGACTGTGAGGGCGTGGATGTGCCCTGCTCTGGCCTGGCCCGGGCCCTCCCCGTGCTCCCGGGCATGGCAGGGCTGGCTTCAAGCTTCCTGAGCCCCGTGTCCCCAGGCAGTGGCCCTGGGACCAGCCCGGTCTGCTGTCACCCCTTGGACGGGCAGACGGAGTCCAGCTCGGCTCGTGGCACGACCTGGGAAACTGCTCAGTCCTGCTGGTGTCACCTGGGCTGGTGTCACCTGGGCAGGGGGAGCAGGAGCCCAGCATGGCAGGCGAGGGGCAGGGACGTGATGCCGCCCGCCTGAGGCAGCGCCCGCAGCCCAGGCTCTGAGCCCGTCTGACACTTGTCACCAACTCACTTCCTCCGCTAGCCCAAGCCCCAGCCTGTGACCAGCAGCAGCCGGGGAGGGGCAGAGTGTCCAGGCCTCTCCTGCCCAGAGCACAGGTGGCGCTGCCCTCGGCCCGGGTAAGAGCGTGCGTGTGCGTATGCGTGCATGTGCGTGTGTGCGTGCGCGTGCGTGTGCTCAGGGGATGGACAGAAGGGCCGGGCCGCACCTTGGTCCGTGGAGGGCTCCTTCCGCATCAGGGAAGAGGTGAGGGACACGGTGACCCGCATCCTGGGCTCCTGGCAGGAGGAGATGACGATGTTGGCTTCGGGGTCGGAGGAGACCTCGTATCTGTCCTCAGTCACCATCTGGGAGGTGTGCGTATGACATGTCATTCCAGCCCAGGGACCCGTGCCGACAGGCAAGGACAGGGCCGCTGTGTGCAGGTCCCCGCGCTCGATGTGCCAGGCCCTGGGCTGGGCGCCTGCAACCTTCGAGTGACCAGACCGCCCTCCAGGAGTGCACGTGTGTGGAGACACGCACGGACTACGGACCCTGTGATTATGAGGAGCCTCCACATATAAAGAGCACCCACAAGGCAATAACAGAACCAGCAATCCAACAGAAGGCTGGCAAGTGAAACAACAGACAACTGGCAGAAAGAGAAACACAAATGGCCCCTTCTACACAATGACACAAATTAGCGCCACAACCAGAGAGAAGCAAATTAAAATTATTGACATAAGGGGGGATGGGATGCCACTGTGGGAAGGCCCGCGGCAGCCCGGCCTCCCGCCCATCGTCATGGCATCGCACGCCACCTGTGTCCACCTGAAATGCACCTGTCTCCCCACCCTTGAGCCCCTCCCACCCAGGGCCTCCTCCTGCGAGGTGGCCCCTGGGGCTCCATCCGTATCGCTGGGGCCAGGGCACCGCCAGCCTTAGCCGTCTCTGGGGTCTCCAGACTTGTCTCTGCCACTGGGCTGAGGGTTTTTCTGAAAGCAGGACCTGCCTCTGAGCCAAGCTTGCACCCTCCTGCCCCACAGCCTTTGGCAGGAAACTGTCATGTCGTAGGCATTCAGGACACATGAGATTAATAATTGAAGCTGGAGAACCTCACTCCCCTGATTAAAACCCCTTAGACCTCCCCAACCTCCCTGAGAATGCAATTCTACCTCCTTGTATGGCCTTCAGGCACGGCTTGATCCAGGCCCTTCCTCAGCCCCTCACGCCCACCTGTCCTTGGAAACATTTGGATTTTTCCAAGTTTTAGCCTGAACGCCCTTCATCAAGTGACCCTGAATGTGCTGACATTGTCCCTTTGCAACTGTGTGTAAACGCGAACTCTCGGCGGTGCCCAACAGCGATGCCTCTTGTACCCTAAAGCAGTGCAGACACAGAAGGACGGCCTCACCGGGAGCTGCCGGGGCAGCTGCTCCGCAATCCTCCGCAGCAGGCCGAGCGTGGGCTTCTCGGAGCAGAGCAGGGCCAGGTGCACGTCCCTGTCCCCCCGCAGGAGGAGGCCTTTCGCCAGGAGGCCGATGCGCACGACGCCTTTCAGGACCCGAGCCGAGGGGGTGACGCCGCTGTTAAGACAAAGCCGCAGATGCGGGCCGTCAGAGGAGAGGCCGTGGTGCCCCGGCTGCCCTGCTCGCAAGCCACGGACCCCAGTGACATTGCCAAGCCTCTCTGTGCCTCGGTGACCTCATCTGTAAAATGGGACCAAGCCCTTCCGTCAGAGGTGAGAGGAAACGACACATCATCAGATACATATAAGTAGGGGGTGGCTTATGCCTGTAATCCCAGTACTTTGGGAGGCCGAGGTGGGAGGATCGCTTGAGGCTGGGAGTTCGAGGCCAGCCTGGGCAACATGGTGAGACCCCGTCTATATAAAAAAATAGAATTAGCTGGGTGCCATGGCACACGCCTGGAGTCCCAGCTACTCGGGAGGCTGAGGCAGGAGGATCCCTCAGGAGTTCAAGGCTGCAGTGAGCTACGAGGACGCCACGGCACTCCAGCCTGGGTGACAGAGTAAGACTCTGTCTCAAAATAAAAAAAAGGAAAAGGAAACAGCAGCCACCCAGAGAGGAAGGACTTAGGAAAGCCAACCCCCTGTGGGGCGACTGGACTCTGTAACAGTTTCTGAGGACGCAGAGGGACTTTCTGCTCGGCTCATGATCACAGGGGCTCGCGGGGCTGAGTCACTCGGGCGCCCGGCGCCACGAAGCCCTCTGATAACTTAATCCCTCGCCGAGGGGAGAAGTTGGCTCAGGCTCCCACGGGGCCTCCTTGTGCAGATGGGGTGACTGGGCTTCACAGGGACGTCGGTCCCTTTTGGTGTCAGAGAGCAACGCCTGTCACCACGGGCGGCTCGGCCTCCCTGGGAGCCCCGGCGCGCGCGCTCTGGGGCGTGGGCAGTTCCCGCCTGTGGGGGCCGCAGGGGCTCCAGGACGATCAGCGGTGGGACCAGGACGCCTGCCCGGGGCCACCCTCTGTCCCTGCAGCCGCCCGGGGAGGGGAGACCCCCGGGTACCTGTGCCCGCCGCCTTCTTCCTGCCGGCGTCTGTGGTCCTCCCGGGCCAGCGCGTCCGACGCCAGCTTGAGGGCGCGTTCCGCGTGGGCGACGGCCTTCTGCACGGCCAGGAGCTCCGGCTCGGTGGGGTAGATGGCGGCGTGCTTGCTCAGCACGTGCCGGTCCTCGCTGGACTCCGGCCGCCGCCTGGGCTGTGGGGAAGGTCTCGTGTCAGGGGCGCTTTTGGGGGCCTTGCGGGAGCGACGGGGGGCGGGCAGGTGGCTGTGGCCGGCGGGGTGAGTGGCCAGGGCTCCCACTCGAACAAGGCGCAGATCCGGGGCTCCCCTGCGACCCCAGGGACAGCCGTGTCCGTGAAGGGCCGGGGACGGGCCCCGGTGCTGGGGCAGACAGAGGCACCGTGACCCCCTGGGGGGGGTTCGGGAGCTTGAAGGGGGCCGTTGGCTTGGGGGGGGTTGGGGGGGGGGGGGGTGTTGGCCCTGGGGCTTTCCGGCCTTTTCCCCCGGCCGGCTTGGGGGCCTTGGAGGGGCGGGTCCGCCCCGTGAGGTGTGGGCAGGGGAGAAGGTCGCCCGGCGTTTCCGCTCTGCCTACCGGGAGCGGGGTGGCGGGTGTGCCCGGCTCGCTGGTGGGGGGCGCGGGGGACCAGGCTGGCGACGCCTGCTGCGGCTCGTCCGGGGACGGCAGCTCCTCCGTCGCCCGCCTGTGGGGACGAGGCCGGACACAGCGCCGTCAGGCTGGCGCCGGCCCCGAGCCCGTCACACCAGAGACACCCAGGCCTCCTGTCCCAGCTTCGTGGGCAGAGCCGCTTGTCGCCTGTGTCTCTGCACCCCGCTGGGGCTGGGGGTCCCGCACAGTCCCTGCCAGGCCTTGCTGGGCTCCCCGGCCCTGCTCGGGCGCCACAAGGCTGGGAAGGGCAGGGGCTGGCCCAGGTCACACCCTGGCGGCAGGAAAGGCCCGGCCTGGATGGCCGAGGTCCTTGGCATGTCCTGGTCCCCTTCCTCAGCACAGACTCGCTACCAAGGGACCCTTCACAAATCAGACACTCTGGGGCCGGGCGGCGGCTCACGCCTGCAATCCCAACACGTTGGCACGTTGGGAGGCAGAGGCGGGAGGATCGCTTGAGGCCAGGAGTTCAAGACCAGCCTGGGCAACACAGCGAGATCCCCCTCTCTACAAAAAATAGGAAAATCAGCTGGGCATGGTGGCACCTGTAGTCCCAGCTATGTGGGAGGCTGAGGCAAGAGGATCGCTTGAGCCCAGGAGTTGGAGGCTGCAGTGAGTTATGATGACGCCATTGCACTCTAGCTGGGGGTGACAAAGTGAGACTCTGTCTCTAAAAAAAAAATGCTTTGGGATGGTTCTAGAGGGAGGAGGAGGAGGACACAGTGTGCTGACAGTGGGGGGCGCACAGCGGGCTGCTCTCTCCTGTCCCTGCTAACACCCGCTTCTCCAACGCCCAGAGGGGCCCACGGGAACAGCCCGTGCCCACCCCCGCCGCCGGCCACCGGGAGCCGACAGGTGAGCACCACAAGGTCAGTGGAGGGCAGGGTCGCCCTGCTCCGCAGGGGCCGGGCGGTGGGGACAGCCCCGGTGCGGCGCGGGTGGCACCTGCTCTCCGCCTGCCAGCGCCGCAGCTCCTGCAGCCGCTCCCTGGCCAGCTGCCGCTGCCTCCGCGCCTGGTCCCCCACGAGCTTCCGGACCCTGCTGCTGGGCGCGGCGGCGACGGGCAGGTCAGGGTCCACTTTTTTCTGGAACGGAAAAGCGAGGGTGTGAGAGCCGAGACCTGCCTTTAGACTCGGGTGGCGGGGCGGGTCTCGGGCACGGGGAGAGGCCAGAGACGGACGCCGTGGCGCCGTGTGTATGGGACGGCTGGGCAGAAACACCCCCCCCCGTCTTGAGGGGGGTCTTGCTTTCACCCCGAAAGCAACGGTGGGGACGTGGGGAACAAAACTGTGGCTTTCAGAGATAACAGAGACCAGAGACAGCGTGGAGCCCGCGACAGAGGAGTCAAGGGGCAGGTGTGGGGCCCCGTCGGCAAACGACACGGCAGTCATGGAACAGTCACTGGAAAGTCAGTGACAGAGCCTCCGCTGAGTCTAGCTAACAACACACACTCCCAAAGTCGTCGGGGACAGCCGCCACTGGTGGGAATCCAGCCACATGTGTTACAAACCGCACTGAACCCTTCCGCCGAGCTCCATCCTTGGTGCCTAAGTGCAGGACTCGGAATCCGCAAGTGTCTCTAAGGCTGCGGTCCCCAACCCCGGGCTGCGGTCCCCAACCCCGGGCTGCGGTCCCCAACCCCGCCAGGCTGCGGCCATACTCGCCCACGGCCTGTTAGGAACCCGCCGCACAGCAGGGGGTGGGTGGCGGGCGAGGGAGCGGAGGTCGGCTGTGCCTACAGCCGCTCCCGGGACTCGCATCACCGCCCGAGCTCCGCCCCCGTCAGAGCAGCGGCATCAGGTCCTCACAGGAGCGCGGACGCTACTGCAAACTGCGCGTGCGCGGGATCTAGGTCGTGGCTCCTGAGACTCTGGTGCCTGGTGACCTGAGGTGGGGCCCAGGCGGTGATGCTAGCGCCGGGGAGCGGCTGCAGATGCGGACTGTCATTAGCAGAGAGGTCTGGCTGGCTGCACAATAAATGCCGTGTGCTCAAACCATCCCCAAGCCATGCCCCTGCCCCGGTTCATGGAAAAATTGTCATCCGTGAAACTGGTCTCTGCTGCCCAAAAGGTTGGGGACCTCTGGTCTAAGGGATGCTGACTGGTGGAACAACCCAAGTGTCCACCAGCAGAAGGATGCATAAACACAACACGGCCCATCCACACGTGGAACATCACTCAGCCATGAACAGGGACGAGACTCCGACACAGGCCACAGGGTGGAGGGACCTTGAGGACGTCGTGCTCAGTGAGAGACGCTAGACACAGAAGGACACACGGTGTGAGACTCCATCAATATGAGATGTCCAGAACAGGCAGGGCCACACAGACGGGACGTGAAGTCGTGGGTGTCAGGGGCTGGGGAGGGACTGCTCATGGGATGTGGTTTCTTTCCGGGGTGATGGAAAGGTTCCACAGATGGTGAGGTGGTGGCTGCAAGCCCTGTGCAGACACCGAAAGCCACAGACTGTACATTTCCGTGGGCGGATCACGTGGTGTGCCTGGTGCCTCTGCACAGCTGTCGGAGAGAGAGGACGTGCACGGGAGCCATGTTTGTCACCCAGAGGGGAGTCACGTGTGTGCTGGGCTCAAGCAGGACCAAGGCCCGACACTCACACGTGCTCGTGCACACGCACACGTGCACACGTGGAGACGGGGCCTGCGCCCAGGCAAGCCCATGGGAGGGAAGTTCGAATCGGTGGCTGGTGGTCCCCCGGTTACAGCCACGGTGCTGGAGGGGCCCTCTGAGTCCCGCCAGCCCCACCCCCGGCTGGTGCCGGAAGGCTGCCTGTCTTGGCACCAAAGAGCCCCGGTCGCCTCCAAGCACGGCTCCCCGGGGGCCGCTCAGCCAGGCGGCCTGATGCCACTTGTGGCCTCAGCATCGCGGCTCCTGGCGCCCTCTCCGGCCACTCGGCTCTCCGCCCTCCGCCCACAGGGCCTGGCATGCCCTGTGCGGGCGCCACACGCCCCCTGGCCAGGGCAGAGCTCAGACCAGGCACGGCACCCCGCCTCAGTCAGAGCAGCAGCCCGGATGCCCGCAGAGGCTCCCGCAGATAAAGCAGCAACAGCAGCGTGCGTCCACGATCAGTAAACCCTCGGACGGTGAGCGTTGCACAGGGGAAGGGCATGCCGCTAACCCCCGCCAGGGTGAGACAAAGACATAAAATATAACCAAAATGTTTGTGCTCTCATAATACCCTGAAATAAAAAAATAAAAATCAAAACAAAAAATAAACCCACGGAGTGTCTGGGAGCTTGGGCAGCGCTGGCAGGCCCTGTTCTGTGTGCGCACGAAGGGCTTGACTGTGTTCCCTGAGAACGCCCCAGCAACCAGTGGGGCACGGCATCCACCCACCCATCCCCCCGGGATTGGATGGATAATGGGTGGATGGATGTGGTGGGAGGGATAAGTTGTGGGTGGTGGGGGATGGTGGGTGGGGGGATAAGTGGTGGATGGATTGGTGGGGATAGATGGATAGTGGATGGGGGGATGGGTGGGGGGATGGGTGGGTGGGGATAAGTGGGTGGATGGGTGGGTGGTGGGATGGTGGGTGGGAGATAAGGGGGGATGAGTTGGGTGGGGGGATAAATAGTGGGGGGATGGGGTGGGTGGGTGGGGGATGGTTGGGGAATAAGTGGTGGATGGGTGGGTGGGTGGATGGGTGGTGGGGGGATTAAGTGGTGATGGTGGGGTGGGGGATAAGTGGGTGGATGGTGGGTTGGGATAAGTGGTGGATGGTGGGTGGGGGATGTGGGTGGGGGATAAATGGGGGCATGGGTGGGTGGCGGATAAGTGGGCAATGGGTGGGGGGGATGGGTGGGTGAGATAAGTGGGTGGGTGGGTGGGGGATTAAGTGGGGGATGGGTGGTGGAGATAAGTGGGGGATGGTGGGGTGGGGGGATAAGTGGGATGGGTTGGGTGGGGGATA